TTTTTTATTTCGACTGAATTAAGTTTTTTATTTCGACTGCTTCTCCTAAGTTTATGCAATATTCTATTATACTAAGAACATAAACTACATTGGGGAGTATTATTGTATTCTGGCAACGTTTTATCAAACTTATAACATAATGTCTGTACTAGAATTAGATATAATACGGCATAATGATTGTAGGTTATCGTTGAAAGCAAGTCTTACAATAAGGGTGCAACAGTAAGTCTCCGCAAAAAGCCTTTTTGGCATTTTTTTCGGTGAAATTCAGCACTAGAGCGGTGCAATAATTTGCATTATGCACACAAGTTAGATGCCTCGTGGATGTATAGAAAGCATTAGTAGTAAAATTGGTCTTGTCGTGTAGTTGTGACATTCCGTCCAGTGGCGTAGCCATGATGACCGGTTGGCCATTTTTGTGTTTGAAATGTGATCCGACTACTTTGAAGAAATTCGCATCATAAAGCTGGCAAAAGTTTCAAGCGGAGCATATAGAGAATAAATAGAGAATGAATCTTAAGTTATTTAACATAAACGAAGTGTATGTTGTGTATGCGACGAAACAGTGTGAGTATTTTTAATTAATTTCTGAGCGATGCTTATTCAGGGCTGCTGCCTATGGACGCCTTCTGTATTACTGTAGTTGTACACCACCATAACACGATACATAATGATGACGTACGTAGTCGCTACGTGGCGTTTTGGCGCAATAGCAAAAACCAGTATTTAGAGCATCCGAAGTAGTGCGTACGCGTTATACGTGGCTGCCACCATCACATACGAGAAAGAGAGTTCACAGTTAAAGAAACGTGTTAAATTAGTAAATTCTTGTACACTAGTAAACATAAACGTTGGTTTTTCTTAAATTACACTAATCTGAAGAACACCGACAGCGTTAGCTAACCACCTGGTCACTACAATGGTAGGTTTCGGTGCTGTAACACAAATCGTTACGCCGGTTTCCTGACATGATCTTTACAGACTAACAAAATCATCAAACGGCGTCTGTAATACAAACGATTACAAGGTGTTTAAACACGTTATAGTGTCAACATCTTATTTGTATAGAGTACCTAATGTTAATAGGTAGGTCGAGTGTCAGTGACAATAGCAAGGGACGTGTCGTTTAAGGCCAGCAGTATCAACCACTTGCTCCATATTGATATTGTGTATTTGCTGACCAGTTGTGTTTTGGCAACTTGGGCCCTGCACACGGTCTAGAACCTAATAAACAACGTGACGTCACTTATTGACCTCTGACAAACTTAATTTCCTACAGAAGTGGCAAGACTTTTATATTAAACTGGATAGTGGGGTGAAAATAAAGTTAGCGTAGTATTTTTACCCAATACCTTCGACACTAGCAACTATGCACTCAAAAAATTAATTGCCGTGAGTTTACCAGCGTCATGTGGACGGATGTGATTTTACTAGGAAATGTGATCCATGCTGTAGTGTTGGCCACAATAACCATTGGCTGAAATCTCTCATCGATTTGTGCATAGGTGTGAGGTTATTGGTTATATTGTGTAAAAATACGAATGAACACATTTTTTATTCAACTATTTTTCTCTACCACGAAAGCCCAGGCTCCATTTCTGCAAGAAATGCTACATGTGGGATATGGAAATGGCATACGTAGGGTATGTGCAGGATGTAGCACACTACCCTATTTTTCTAGATGTGGGAATTTTTTCAAAATAGCTACTTACTCTGTCAAGTGTCATAACAATGATAACATTTTAAAGGATTTCTATATGAAGTAAAAATGGACCTTCGAGAATGCATGTCACACAATATTAACACTGCCAGGTATACTAGCTTTACCTTTAGCTGGTTTTTCAGTTTGTTGTTCTAGAGTAATTAACAGGAAGCAGAAGTAAATTGAAAAGGCTCCACATGATAGTAATGGACGTTTTACATTTTTATTCAGGTGTTGTTGGCAGCAGCAGTATGCACCAAAGTGGGGAAAGGTAAACAGTTTTGAAGATTTTATGCTCATGACTAAGCGTAATTCATAGAAAACCTGATCGTTTACACTTGCTGGAATCACATGTTTTGAAATCTTATTTTCTTGACACTGCCATAATTAAAAGAAATATTTCGATTGCTGCCTAGGTCATTTGGTCTAGTTGCCATGTCATTTATGATCTTCTAAAAAAAAGCTTTACTAATGCAAGAATGTAGAGTCTCATGTACATGTATGCGAATAAATTGCTTAAAAATAGCAACGGTGGAACATTTACGACTTGTCCTTCGAACACGAATCCTGATTGCGTGCGTGAGCGGAAATCGGCGTTACAGTGTCAAGCGAAATTTTCTCGTTTTTCGATTTTGCCGTTCAGCGATCGTGTCGCGACAGTTTGTCGAGATGAGCAAGTCGAGGATCGAGGGACTGCTTGCAGCATTTCCGAAACTGATGAGTACTGGCAAGCAGCACACGTTCGTCGAGACGGAGAGCGTGCGCTACGTGTATCAGCCGCTAGAGAAGCTCTACATGCTTCTCATTACCACCAAAGCTAGCAACATTCTCGAGGATTTGGAGACGCTGCGTCTGTTTTCCAGAGTGGTAAGGGAGCGTTTGTGTAAGGGACCACGTGTTCCCATGTAGTGGTCACACGCAATTTAGTGTTTTAAAGATGAGTGGAAATGGATTGCCTTTGTCCAGTTTTCAGTCCTTACACCTTGGGCCTATATCATGGGACAGGCATCTCGAATCTATATATCTATCTATATCTCTCTCTTGCTCTCTCTCTGTCTCTCTCTCGCTCTCTCTCTGTCTCTCTCTCTCTCTCTCTCTCTCTGTCGCTCTCTCTCTCAATATATATATATTGGTATTACCTTTTTAAAGTGATCAGCTGTGAATAGGTGTTCACTGAGACAGGTAGAACTCTTGGAAATGAGTCTAAAAATCTAGGTAGTCCTGCTCAAAAGTTATCAGTCCCGGACTGGGGTGGGGTGATGCCATTTCCAACGCTGCTGGTAGGGTTGACGTTATTATGCTCATGTTGTTTGGGTAATGAGTTTGCCTACTATTGTTAGGTAATTCCTGCTAAAACTATTAGGCACTTTTAATTAGTTCAGAGAGTATGAGTTAATCCTTGATTGTTTTTTAATTTCAGATTCCAGAGTACTGTCGTGTAATGGAAGAGTCGGAAATTATAGACAATGCATTCCAGTTGATCTTTGCCTTCGATGAGATAGTAGCCTTGGGTTATAGAGAAAATGTCAATCTTGCGCAAATTCGCACTTTTACCGAAATGGATTCACACGAGGAGAAAGTATTTCAAGCAGTTAGACAGGTAGGCTCACTTGATCTGTATTAACTGTGATAATAATAATGTCTATATATAGTACTATATTATTATATTGTATTACTATATTGTAGTTATATATGTTCATGCCATGTCTGACACTAATTTAAAATGAGTTTTATTCGTAATCATCAGTAATATCACACATCAAACTAAAAAGTTTTAAGATGATATTGTTTTTAAACATTTTGTTCATGTTTAGCCTTTTGCATTCTACTAAAATAAATTGAAGTGAGTAAGTAGTCAGTTATGCATACTATCCAATGAAACCACAACCAGCGTGATGCAACGTCAGTTGAAATTCAAGTGGATATCTGGCCAGCGAACCGCTTTCGCAATCGAAGAAACACCAAATCGAAACACGTATTTTTCGGCCCGTTTTCTGACCATGTTTTTCTTCTACGCTAACTTTCAGCAGACCCAAGAGAGAGAAGCGAAGAAACACCAAATCGAAACATGTATTTTTCGGCCCGTTTTCTGACCACGTTTTTCTTCTACGCTAACTTTTGGCAGACCCAGAAGAGAGAAGCAAAGAAACGCTGTATCGAAGCGCATATTATTTGGCCCGTTTTCTGACCACGTTTCTTCTTTTGGGCTTCCTTTCAGCAGACCCAAGAGAGAGAAGCGAAGAAACCAAATCGTAACGCGGATTTTCCGGCCTGTTTTCTGACCAAGTTTTTCTGCTACACTAACTTTCGGCAGACCCAGAAGAGAGAAGCGAAGAAACGCCGTATCGATGCGCATATTATTCGGTCCGTTTTCTGACCACGTTTCTTCTTTTGGGCTTCCTTTAAGCAAACCCAAGAGAGAGAAGCGAAGAAACACCGAATCAAAACACGTATTTTTCGGCACGTTTTCCTCTGACCACGTTATTATTCTGCGCAGACCCAAGAGAGAGAGGCGAAAGAGAACATGCGTAAGAAGGCCAAGGAGCTGCAGCAGAAGCGCACGGACGCGGCGCGGCGCGGCGTCACCCCGGGTTTCGGCGGCGGATTCGGCAGCAGCAGTGTCGGAAGCGTGCCGTCTCCGGTCGTCGGTGACTCGTCGTATGAGCCGGCGACGACGCCCATCATGCAGTACATCGCACCCAGGCACGTGTCTCTCCTCCGCTCGTCCTCGCTGTTGGTGTTGTTGCTGTTGTTGTTGTTGTTGTTTTTGATGTTGTTGTTGCTGTTGCTGCTGTTGTTGTTTTTTTTGATGTTGTTGTTGTTGTTGTTATTGTTATTGTTGTTGTTGTTGTTGTTGTTGTTGTTGCTGCTGTTGCTGTTGTTGTTGTTGTTGTTGTTGTTGATGTTGCTGCTGTTGTTGTTATTGCTGTATGGGTTATTGTGCTGGCGTTGTTGGTGTGGTTGTAGGTGTGATTGGAAAGGTGTATTTGGAGCTTATATGCTGGTTATGGAGGTATCTGGAAGATGAGGTTGTAGCCAGATGGTGTGTTCTGTTGTCGTAGATTTTATGTTTTGATTCCTGCAATGCATACATTTAATATTGATCTAATTCATCTGTTTTATCCGTAGTATGAAGTTGAAGGTTCTTATATGCGTCTTTTGTATGTGCTATGCAGCAAACCTATGGGGCCAAGCAAAGCCATGAAGCTTGGAAGTAAAGGGAAGGACATCGACTCATTTGTTGATCAGTTGAAATCGGAAGGACAGGAAGTGTTAACAAACCACTTATCAAAAACATCTGCTGCAATCACCAAGATCACAACACCAGCTATCAATAAAGAAGGGTACTACCATGGGTTTATTCATCGTAATTCGTTGTTATCCAGTCAGGACTTTTAATCATGTGGATTTATATGGTCCTGGGTGTAGATATCGCCAGGATATAACATGTCTGTTAGGAAATCACTGTGAGTTTAGCCTCGGAGTAAATGATAAAACATAGTTATGCACATCTAGGCATGTGAAAATGCCGTGATATAATATGAAAGGGATTCGCATCATTACGTCCTTTTAACAGATAAATCATTGTATTGCAGTGTCCACATGAGGATTGAGGAAAAGATCAGTCTCTCTGCTGGCAGAGATGGTGGACTGCAAAACATGGAAGTACTTGGGATCATAATGCTACAAATCAGTGATGAACACTGTAACCGAATAAGAGTAAAGATTGACAATAAAGACAATAAGGGAGTACAGTTACAGGTAGGAGTCTGAGAGCCATGGTCCAGTGAGTTGTGATCTCATGACCTGTATCATGGACAAATATGATCAGTAGAAGTTATGATTGTTATCGTATTATCACTATCAATGTAAATGTTATTTTATCGAAAGCGTATGTTTTGTTGCGCTTACTTCATCTTCTTGGAAATAATTCTCACACTTTCGATATAATATTACATTATTAGCCATGAGTCATTTGCTGCCCTAGTATTGACATTTTGTACAGTTATGTTATTATTGTTTTTTCAGACGCATCCAAACATTGACAAGAAACTTTTCCAAAGTGAGTCTATTATTTCGCTAAAGAACCCAGCCAAACCGTTTCCTCTCAATACAGACATTGGTGTTCTAAAGTGGAGATTCCAGACACAAGATGAAGCTTTCATGCCTTTATCGAGTAAGTGTTAATATTCGTTGTGCAGAAACAGTGTAGAGTATCAATGTTGTTAAGATGCTATTGTGAGTTGACCAAGAAATCACTGGGAAAACAAATTCAAATTTAGGATTTTTCCTGTGGGATGAGACATTTTAGGAAAGCATTATAAAATAATACAGTTGTATAGTTAGCTGTCAAACTCACTCTGAAATTTATGTTCATTAACATTAGAAATATATGATCTGAAAATTACTGACTTGAGAGTTTTTGTTAAATGAAAGTTTTTTTTCTTTTTGAATAACTATTCCCTTTTTGTGTGGCTTGCATTATGATGGCAAATGTTCTTTGTGTAATGACGCATGATGGGTGCCTGCTGTTTTAGCAATATAAATGAAACACACCACAACGAGGTGCACGATTGATAACTGGGTGTATCATTTCAAGGCCACATTGTTTATCGTAATGTTTTTCACAATTAGTTAATATTTATCAAGATCCCAAGGATTAATAGCGAAAACAATTTTTTTTACATTCATCTAGCTAGTTGTAGCCATATTTACGAGAATTAGCTAGTGTTTTCACCAACTTTTATGACTGTTTAATTACCTACCGATATTGCTTGAGTAACGGCAACTGCCTTAGAGTAACGATAAAATGTATTAGAACCTTCGTATTCACCAAAACATGCAAGTTCGATTACCAGCGAGCATTTTCTTGTAATCTTGGACCAGTTAGTAGTGCCAGCTATCATCCACAGACTTACACGTCTCTTGGAAAATCTCGTTTGCACTGACAAATTACAAGTTGACACATTTAACAAATCTCGCGACTCGATATTATTTTCGTTGTGTTACGATGTGTTCATATCCAATTTTCTATGCTATAACTGCATAAAATCTTAGTGTTTTTTCCAGTTAGTGTAATCAGTGATATACCCGCTATGAGGTGAGACTATATTTCGCTACATGTTTTTGGGATTGAGCGTTTGTGAGCAAAAATCTCGTAATAAAAACTTTAATGTGTCGTACACTTGTAGTCTTTCGTTGCTGTTTGCCTCACGTATGTTGTTCATCCTGCGCAGTAAACTGTTGGCCATCTCAGACGGGCAGTGGATGCGATGTGAACATTGAGTACACGTTAGAGCAGGAGCAGCTGGAACTGAGCGACGTCGTGGTCATCATACCGTTACCGTGAGTCTTACTTTTGTACACACTAGACACCCTCGCATTCACGCACTCGTGCACGCACGGGTGCAGACGTGTGCAGTCTTCGACGTTAGGCGGTGGACCGTGGACCGAGACCACCAAAATCTCTCTCGGTCCAGTAAATTTAACAAGTTAAATGGACCGTCGGTCCACCCGTTTTTTTCAGCCACTCTAGTTACAGTATTTAAATAATTTATCAAAGTATTTATGAGACTACTTACTGT